GGAGTTTCCCAGGACTTGCCCTAACCCCCCCAACCCCAACTATGAACCATCCAGCCACAGCCAGACCCCACCGGTTGAGGCAGAGGTCAAGGGAGGACACGACAGACAGCAGCATGTCCTGCACTGCAGCCACCACAGGAGGGACACTGTGGCAGCCCCACACAGCAATGCAGCCAACGAGCACACATCCTCCCAACAAGCAGAGAACACAGTACTCAAGAGCCACACACTCCGCACTGCCTGCCATCCGCTCCTCTAAAAGGTGAAATATAAAACATTCGGCCGTCCTTATCTCCCTAGGCCTGCAGAGGGAGGCAGAGAGAGCAGAAAACCACAGACCACCTCTCCCACCCTATTAGGGCCACGCGGCCACCAGCAGACAGCTGGAGAGCAGACAGGAAACCCTGCCCGTATGGCGGTAGAAGTCCTTCCTAGGAAAGCACAAGAGTCGCCTAGAAAATGAATGTATCAAGTTACCCTAAATAGACCTTGGAAGAAATTTTGTCATTTTTCGGGGAGATTGTACCTGGTGAGGGCACCCGCCATCGTGTCCTGTCTATTCACCTGTCCTAGAAGGAGGCCACTTAGCCCCAGAGTGGAAGGTAAATTCCTTCCACTTCCTTTCTTATGACCCAAATAATAGGCTTTGAAGGACAAAAGATGATTAAGTTTCACCAGTCAGCCCACCTCCTCATCGACAGACTTCTAATGGGCACACTTCTCCAATCCCAGCATCCTTCCTGAATGGTGTCGCCTTTCTTCCATTCCCTCCCTTTAACTCACATAACACACACCCAACACGTGCCACACAAAGGCAACAGAGGTGCCTGGGACGTAGAGAGGGAAATGGGCCTTCATTCTTTATAGCCCCGCTGGGGGACAGGATCCGGGGCCCTGATCTTTCTTCCCAAAGGTTCAGAATCACTCATTTCCTGTGCAACCTCTGTGACAAACTTATATGCCTACTGGTTAAAATATCTCCCTGAATTAGAACTTACTTATCTCTTCCCCACTACACCACAAGATCCCCCAGGGCAAGGGCTGCATCTCATCCATCTCTAGACCACCAGCACGTATGGTCTCACAGCATCTGGCATGTAGTAAGTGCTCAATAAACGTGGGACAGAGGTAAAACAGCAGGTGGATGGCCATAGTCCCTGCTCTGAAGGATTTACAGTCTGACACTTTGGGCAGACACATAGATAAACTTCGTGTCGCTGTGTGATGGGTGCCGTACCTGGCGATGTGCCAGGTACACGGGGCAGAGCAACCAAGGCCAGGCTGATGTGTGGAGGAGGAGGGGGAGTGTGGGGAGGAAGGAGGCCTGGGCCGCACTCCATCAGGCAAGGGAGAAAGATCAAAGGGGCACGAGCTTCCACGCCAAGGGGGGAGGCTGAACAAAGGCACAAGGTGGCAGAGGGATCCAGGGATGGCGAGAGCTCTGGGTGGTAGATAGAGGCAAGGGAGGGCAGCAGGCTATGAAGGGGACAGGTTCTTACATGGCACCCAGAAGAGGAACTGGAAGTCTATCCTGCAGGCGAGGAAGGCAAGCGAGGCATCAAAGCACAGGTGTCAGGGTTTTAGGAAGGTGGCTCCAGCGGCAACGCAGAGTGTGTGGCCCGGAGGACAGCGGGAGGCGGCGGGTGGCTCCTGCTCTATCCCAGGGCTAGTTTCCCAGGGCCCGGGGAGCAGGTGAGGGAGAAGGCCCTGAGGAACCCGGGTCTCTGGGCCACTGGAGAGGCGGTGGGACAAGTAACCAAACTAAGGTGATGGGGAAATGGCGAGAACACTAGGAATTCAGTGAGGAAACAGGAAAGCCGGGGCTCCAGCCCTGGGTTTGTCACCAACAAGATGTGTTACTCATTCACCCTCAACCATGTCACCTGTCACATAAGGAAAACAATCTCATTCAAGGGCGATTCACTGAGCATATGCTACGCCAAGAATACAAAATGAGGAAGACATGGGCCCTTTCTTCAACTCCAAAAGGAAATGAAGGAAACTTATGATAAAAAAAGGTGGTAAGGGCTATACCATAGGTTTTAAAAATTACTTATTTTTAATCACAAAAGTAATACAGCTTGCTGCAAAAAATAAAAAGACCGTTGGATAATAGAGTAAATTAAAAAAATATTAAAAAGCATGAGAAAATGAAGAGAGATGATGGAGCCATTCATTACAAAAAAATTTAAATGAGATAAACATGAACTTTTTTGAAAATATGAAGCATTAAAAATTCACACTGACTCGCCCCTACAGGAGGTCTGGTCAGTGTGAAACCCTCCCCCCCGTGCTGCCCACTCGAAGGGTGCAGAGATCCACTCCTAGCAAGCGTCTCTAGAAAGAGGCGGGTGGGGATTTTTCAAGAACATTATCTACCTAAAATATTTTCTAAGAACTAGATTCCAATGATAAAGCAAACAAATTATTTCCAGTGTAATAAGACAACGGGTGTCTGAAAGGCACATAAAGCCCATTGTTGGTTATGTTTGTTTGTTTGAGGCAAATACCAAGATTCACAAAGCAAATAACCATTACATACATCTATTAGACCCTGGGAGCTTTCGTGACTCTGAGAATTTCACTTTAATATCAATATCACACTTAAGAAATCATAGGGCTTCTGGAAGAACCAAGAATGTTGTTAAAGATCTATGATAAATAGGATTAAATAATTGATTAATATCAAACTATTAAAAGAATGGGCAAAGGCCATGAAGGCAATTTGAGAGAAATACAGTTTATGGATAAAATATAATAACCAAATAATAACCTCCAAAATACATAGCAAAGAACATCTAAATATCTAAGAGGAATTGATTAAATAAATATGGCACAACCACATAATAAACTAATATGCGATCATCTAAGATTCTATTCTGGGCCAGGCTCAGTGGCTCATGCCAATAATCCCAGCACTTTGGGAGGCCAACTGTGAGAATTACTTGAGGCCAGGAGTTCAAGACCAGCCTGGGCAACATAGCAAGACCCCATTCCTACAAAAAAATGAAAAGAAAAACAAAAAATTAGCAGGGCATGGTGGCACACACTTGAAGTCCTAACTACTTGGGAGGATTAAGCAGTAGGATCATTTGAAGCCAAGAGTTCAAGGCTGCAGTGAGCTATGACTGCACCACTGCACACCTGAGTCAGCCTGGGCCATCGAGCAAGATTCTGTCTCTAAAAAAATAAATAAATTCTATTCTGAAACTGAGTCATAGGGAAAATATCCAAAGCATAATTGAAAAGGGGAAAATAGGACATAAAACGCTATAGATTTAATTTTGTAAACAAGAACAAAAACAAAACAAAACAGAGGAACATAACGCAGATCTTAATAATGAAGTGTTTTAAGTAGTAAAATCAGAGATGATGACTTCCCTTTTTTGTATTTTTCTATGTATCTTTTCAAATTTTTCCATAATAATATTTAGTATATTTACAATTGGAATAATTTTAAAAATTAATAATAGGAGCTGATGGTTCTAAGCTTCATGAGGGCAGGGACCAGGGCCTGTGTTTTGTCCCCTAACACAGTGCTTTGCACATAGTATGAGCTCTACAAATATTTGTGGAACAGATCACTGAATGAACAAAGGACAGACACATGCATTTCTAAAATTTGGACATACTTTCATACTTACAAATTGAATTATAATTGTTTTATCCTGTTCTCTCAACAGATATTTTCTAAATGGCTAAAATTAGCTCCTTCCAAGAGTCCTCGAGTATCAGGAAAGGAAGCACAGAATCACAGGGAGCTCCTGTCTTCACCAAAGAGGTCCAGATCAGCTCTGCTGCTCTTTTATATCTGGGTCAGTGCAGAGCTCCAAATGGGGGATTTCTCATTACTGCATTATAAAATATTCATACGAGCTATGAGTTCTTGACCATTTAAGTAAAGGTATTGGGAGAGTCCTGAGAAGAAGGTTAAAGGAAGAAAAATAATAATAATTGAACCCATAGCAAAAACAGCAAATGTCTATGATGAAACATATTTCCAAAGGATAAATTCCAGAAAAGTCCAAATTTTGGAGCTCAAAAATAAATGTTAAATTTCAGTTTTGACTTGAACCAAACAGGAACAAAGTGTACTCAAGTATGAGATACAGGCAGACACAGAGACAGAGAGAGAGAGAGAGAAAGAGAGAAGAAAAAGGGGAAAAGTGGTTTCTGGTAGCCTAGAAAAAAAAATGTATAATTTAGTGGAACTATATCCTTCTTCCTTTATGGTTTGGGAGAAAATCCTTTTCTGACTGTGAACTGTAATTGACTTTCTTTTTGAATTTTCATTTTTTTCAAGTTAATCCCATCTACTAAAGTGGCAGGTTTCTGCTGTTGGTATCAGAGAGACAATATAACCACATAAGCGAAAGAATTAGGTCAGTGTTAGACATAGTCTTGCAGCGAGGTATTAGAGACTCAGTTGAGCCTATTTCACTGAAGAAATAAAAGCCGCAGAAGCCTGGAAAACATTTTTCTTGGACAAACTAATTAAGAAATTAGTTTATATCCCTTACTAGAGGTTGTTAAAATGCAGGTCATTCCAGCATGTTAGCAAATCCTTAATGATCTTTAATGATTTCCTAATGTACTTGAAACCCGTTAATGCACTCAGGCCTTCAATAACAATTTCCTGATAGCCTTAAATTTAAACCAGTTATATTTCACTTTAAAGGTTATTATCACAACTTGATTCCCATAAAGAAAAGGTATTCTGTGTGTGTGTGTGTATATATATATATAGCACTGGTAATTTCTCTAAGAATGACACAATTATCTCGAGACAAGAGGATGAAGCACAGATCTTGGGACTAAAACTTCACTAAACACACAGTAAGCACTTGTGGTTTCAAGTTCCCAAGTAATAAATTGGTATCACACCCTAAAGGGGCACCACATGTTTTCAAAGACTGGAAGAGGAGGCACTCTGAAAAAAAAGTATTACCGAGTGTGTGCACTGAATCGTTTAAGCCATTAAAAATAACACTTCAGCATACCTGACAATTCCTGTTTTACAAACGAAAGCACCGCCAGGTAAACCTGACAGTCAGCTATGATTATCTGCCTCTGAAGCCGATCAACCACAGAGGGGGCAGATTTTCGGACATCAACCTGTTTGGTGGAAAGAAAGTACACACTGATCAATCATACACAACAACAATGCTCCCTGTAAACAGCTTTGTTGTACAAAATAATCTCACATAGGAATTGTGAAATATAGCAGTCACTCACATGTATACTATGAACCTGGTAGCTCCGAATTCCCATTAGGTCTAGCATTGTTTTTGGTAACTTAAAAATATTCTAAATGCTTAAAACTGAATTCATGGATGATGTGAAAATCAACACAAAATTTGAGAGTTTCACAGTTTTTTTTTAAGCTATGTAAAGTCTTACTTATGCAAAATAAAAATCATTAAAGGTGTAACACATTCCTCAAAGTAGATAATCTAAAAAGTCACTTGTCAGCCATCTCTCTTGAGGAGGGACTAATATTAGGGAGCTCTTTTGGTGCATGTGACTGAGATGTGAGGATCAGAAACAGATTATATTTCCATCAAGGAGAAAATGTCCTGGAATTAAAAATTAGCTTTGAATAAATCACAAATTAGACTTGATATATAAGCCATATAAATGAAAATAAGCAAAAAATGAAATCATTTTTTATAAAATGTTGGCCTTTATCATAAGAATGTTTCTAAGATGAAGAAAACCCTCTCTGGAATAGAATACTCTCCATTCTTAATACAAAGTAAACTTGAATAAAATAAGCTAAATAGCTTTCATGTACTATCACAATGACATAAGAACTGATAGGATTTTTGCAAATATGCCAACAGTATACATGGTACACATGACGGAGAGTCCTGTTTCCCTTTTTTCTAGATTTTACCATAATCCATCATGGTCACTGTTGTTCCAAATCTAGCCCCAGCACTCATTATTCTGTTCACTTAGGAAAATGTCCACCTCCCAATACTTCTGTTTCTTTGTTTGTAATTATATCAACTGTGCAGAGCTGCCAGTAGATCTAATGACATACTGTATAAGAAAATGCCTGTTAAATCGCAAGGACCCATGACAAATGTTAATTATTTATTTTATTTTTTTGAGACAGTCTCACTCTGTTGCCCGGGCTAGAGTGCCATAGCATCAGCGTAGCTCACAGCAACCTCCAACTCCTGGGCTCAAATGATCCTTCTGCCTCAGCCTCCCAAGTAGCTGGGACTACAGGCATGCGCCACCACACCTGGCTAATTTTTTCTATACATATTTTTAGCTGTCCAGATAATTTCTTTCTATTTTTAGTAGAGACGGGGTCTTGCCCTTGCTCAGGTTGGTCTCGAACTCCTGAGCTGAATGATCCTCCCTCCTCGGCCTCCCACAGTGCCAGGATTACAGGTGTGAGCCACTGTGCCTGGCCTACAAATGTTAACTATTAACATATGTGGTAGGCATGGTACTAGATACCGAGGACAGACATGTAGATAAGCTCACGGTCTAATGAGGAAATGCAGACCTTATTACCATGCACTGCAGTAAGTGCTCTGAGAGGGTAAAGTACAGGGAACTATGGGATCCTGCAAGGAAACATACTCAACAGGGCTTAGAGCCTCGGGCTGGCGTCCTTGGGGAAAATGACATCTAAGGAGAACTAAAGAATGAGTAGGAACCAGGTAAAGAGGGAGGAGAATGTTCTAGGCAGAGGAAAAGTAAAAGCCAAGTCAGCCACTTTAAGGAGTTGAGACTTTATTATAATGGCAATGGCTGGTGGGGGAAGAGCCACTGCAAACCGAGCTGGCACCGTATTTGCGCTTCAGCGACTGTGTTATGGAGAATGAATTAGAGAAGCAGGGTCTGGAGGCAGCCATGCCAGTCTGTCTTAGGCAAGCAGCATGGTGGCAGAACTGGGGAGATGGCAGTGAGGGCGGAAAGAAGTAGGTGAACTCAAGAGGTATTTAAGAAAGAGTCAATAGGACTTGGTCATTGACTGGACATCAGACTTAGAGAGGGAGGAAACAAGGAAAATTCTGTCCCTTCTAGAGTACCCAGAGACGGTCCTCCCGGCCCAGCAGTGGCTTCCCCATGGTGAATACCATAAGCCCGAGCAGAGATGGCGCCATCTGCTATGACTGCCTCCTAGGTAGGGGACAGGCATGCAGGAGAAGAAAAGATGGGGCGCTTCTGGTGACTATCGCCAACAGACTGCCCTATCAGTGGCAGATGTGATGTGTGTGAGACCCTTGGACACTCCAAGATCATAAAGGGTAGGAGGACGCCTCCCCAGAGCCTAGAACTTTGGCACTGAGAGGTGAAGGGAAAATCAGGAAAAGTGGATTGTGATGTCATTGTGACTTGTAACCAAAAGCTGGTGAGTCCTGGGGAAAACTGGGAAAACTGCTGAATTCCAGAATTATGGCAAAATGCAATTCTCTTGTTCACCAACTGTCATTGTGTCCTGTCTGAGCTACACAGACGACAGCCTCATTACAACGCCCATGCCACGTGGCCTGTTGTGGAAGAAGGGATTCCAGGTCACCAAAGAACATACGCTGAATGGCTCTAGTTACTGAGCGATCTTCTGTTGTTTTAAGAAATACCTTTTCCATAACCAAAAGCCATAAGAAACATTTAGTTTTTCAGTCATATTCTAAATACCAAAAATGAAGGAAAGGAGTGATGTTCTAAATAAGTGGCACATAGTCCATAACCCAAAGCCACCGTACGTACGTTCTTCTTAATTTTATTCTTGATTGTTTCAATGACTCCAGCCTCTTCGCTTTCACACAGCTTTTCTGTAGTTTTTAAGTCATCACATGCCACCTGCATTTTTTCTTCTTCAAATGTCATCATGGCATTCTTTTGAAAAATAAAAAAAAAAATGAATGAATCAGGAAGCATCTGAAAATTTAGGCCAATTAATTAAAACTCAAAAATAGGAAACAAAAAATCCACTTACATTACTTGTTGCCAGTAAAAGAATTAAAATGTTACAGTACACCCTATTCATTGAAAGAATCTCACTATGAAATAAGAATACACTTCTATCACATCAGCATGAAAAAATATATGGTAACAAAGGTCCCTGCAATTCTTGTTCTAGAATTTTTGTTGTTGCCGTTATTAAGCCGGTAACAAAAACTCTGTGTAATTTCTGATTGCTCTGCTCACTTCGGTTTTTCTAACAGCGTCTTATTCAAAAGTTCATTCTACCCACACATGGATCCCTGGTTTCCCCAAATACTGCACAGAAATGCTAATGCGACAACAGTTGGTAGGTGCTCTCTGAAAATCTTCGGTCTTTCCAGGAACAGTAATTCCAGTGAGTTCACTTATAAGGAATTCATTTAATATTGTCTGTGGATAAAAATTCCACTGACAGCTTGTTTCCAGCACCTGATGCTGGTAGATTTCTTCAGACCACATTTGTCTGGGTAGAGGCAACCTACTGAATCTCTGCCGAATGCCTGCGACTTTCACCCAGTAGAGCTGAGGTTTCTGCGATGAATGGGCTACAGGGGTAGAGACAGAGTCGCCGCAGGATACCTGGATCTTGGAAGGACCTAATGAACTTACTGCCTCTGGCTCTCTAGTCCCTATCAAACTCTGCCAAACCTACCTTGGTATTTTAGGCCTCCTCAGTTTGATGCTAACCTACTTTTCCCTTCTAGTTAAACCAGACCATGGTCACCTGTGCCCAAGCCTCCCTACCACACTCTTCTTCCCAACCACCCTCTCAAGCTGCTGCAATCTCCGCCCTACCATGGCCTCCCTTCCCACCCCCTCCTCAACCACCAGGCTCAGCCAAGAGCCTTTGGTTCTATCCCCCCTACTGTCCTTTGTAGTCACTTGTGTACTAATGTTACCACTCCTACCCAGGGTCATTTTCCTTGAGGTTGGGAACTGTGTATTCCTGCAAACAGTAGGCCTTCACATTTTTGTTGCATTAGCTGGCAACAAGAGGAAATAAACAGTTGGAACAAAACCTCTTCTCAACAGAAGCTGGCCTGGTTGGGCACCACCAGCATGTGCATAACACGCCCATTTGCTGGCATCTTTCTAAATCTCAATTCGCAGTGCTTTCTCTCTTTTGGTCTCTACTCATGACTTTTTTTTTTCTTGCTGCTAGTACAATTTTACAGTAGTTTTTTTTTTTATGTATTTGAAAGTAGTTTGTGTGACATTAGAAGTGTTTCTGAAAAATGAAAGGAAGCCATTTTCTACGTTGCCCAATTTAACTTAAAACCTAACTGCGACCTATTTCCTCAATTCCCAAATACTAGTATTTGGAAATGTAATACTAACTGACGAACTTTAGCTCTGCTCATCTAACTTGTCTTCTAGTCCACATTCACTCAATGATTTTAGTACTAACCTTCATTACCCCAAATCAGACCTCCCTCCTAAATCCAGTTTTAATTTTTGAAGATCTTTTAATTACATCTTTATTCTAAAAAGGATTTTGATTAGAAAAAATATAATACTCTAGAAATAAGATATAAGCATTTTCTTTTTTAAATTATTGAAGAAAGGTTATCTTATAGGCATTGGTTAACAGGCAAAAACTTTATTTCCATTTTAAACTCTAAAAGATTTTCTACAACAGCATAGCTATATAGCTGGTAGCCACCAACAGACATTATCTATTTGTTTCCTTCATGCCAATATCTTTTCCAATATCAACTTACCAAAAAACTGACAAAGCTGGCTCCAAAACTCATTAATGGGCTATGATTTCTGTTAAAGGAAACAAAATAAAATTGTTTTCAGTAAAGTCTTATTTGAAAAAGCACTTGATATATATCGAGATCATTACATGACACTATTAATTGGATAGAAGAAGGTAAGGTCATCAAGCAGATTAAATTACCCTAAGAAAGAAGTTAAAGAGACAAAGTGGTTCACAGCTCAATACACCAGGATAAAACCTGCCCCTGATCCTGCAAAGCAAGGCAGACACTAACGTCAAATTATAACAGAGATTGCCCTAGTAAACTTTTAAATTGTGGCTAGTAAAGAGTTGACACAGTAAATATAAAGATGGCAGAAGCCAGGCCCAGTGGCTCACACCTATAATCCCAGCACTTTGGGAGGCCTAGGCAGAAGGATCACTTGAGGAGTTCGAAACCAGCCCAGGCAACACAGTGAGACTTCATCTCTACAAAAAATTAAATTAGCTGGGCATGGTGGCATGTGCCTGTAGTCCCAGCTACTTGGGAGGCTGAAGCAGGAGAAGTGCTTAAGCTCAGGAAGAGTTCCATGTTACACTGACCTTTTTGATCATGCCACTGCACCCCAAGCTGGGTGACAGAGCAAGACCCCATCCCCCCAAAAAAGATGGTAGAAACAATCTGACATCTGCAAAAATGTGGCCAAAGAAAGATTTTTATTATTCATTTTTAAAACATAAAACTTGTTACAAACATTAGACACATAAAATCAGTATCATTTCTAGAGTAGATAAAAGGGTTTCACCTTGAGCCAGACAGTACAAAATCATTTATCCACCCAAGCATGTTAGAAATACCTCCCTCAGAGTCAGCCATTCCCCCACTGGAATTATCCAATTTTGTAGTAAGCCAAAAATGAAATCTAATCAAACCAACAACTGTTTATAGTTCAAGGAATATAAGAATATAAATGTTCTCTTTCAAATTCAAAAATAGTATAAAATCCAGATCTCTGTCAATTGCATTAAAAGGAAAAGCAAGTTGTAATTACCTTCTTAAATGAAAATCATTTTACTGATTTATTAAGCAAATAATATACAGTCACTATAAAAAAAGGCATGGAACAATGTATTTAGTCAATCCCATACTATTAACAGAAATGTGGATTATTTTCAAAGTGACAGTGTGTGTGGGGGGGAGAGAATGTGCACAGTTGCATGTATGTATGTGTACATACACATATATGCTTGATGAACATCTTGAACACATTTTTGCAGGCAAGATCAAATATATTCTTGGGCTAAAATGCTAGAGGTAGGTCTAGTGAGTCAAAGAGTATGCATGGTCAGGCGTGGTGGCTCACACTTATAATTCCAGAACTTTGGGAGGCTGAGGAGGGAGGATTGCATGAGCCTACTAGTTCAAGACCAGCCTGGGTAACATAGTGAGACCTCTGTCTCTACAAAAAATAAAAAAAAATTGGCTGAGCATGGTGGATTGCACCTGTATTCCCAGCTACTCGGGAGGCTGAGATGCGAGGAGCCCTTGAGCCCAGGAGTTAGAGGTTGCAGTGAGCTGTGGAGGTTGCACCACTGCACTCCAGCCTGAGTGACAGTCCAAGATCCTGTCTTAAAAAAAAAAAAGAAATAAAATTATTGAATTTCAAAAAAAAAAAAAAAGAGTATGCACAACTTTTGCCCTCATGGAGTAGGGTGGGTGGTGGAGGGAGAGTGGCATAAAGAAAGAGATTGAGAAAGAGAGAGAGAGAGATCTGGGACTCAATTTGGAATATTAACCTTCTGCTACCATTTTTTTTTACCTACTTGGTACCTATCCAAATTCTACAATTAATAACAATTTGTTTACCCAACTTAATAGGATACTTAAACCTACCAGAAAAAAACCCCCAGGAAGTTCAACTGATTCATGAAGAATCCCAAACTAACACCTATACCCATAAACCTAGCTCAAATAGCTTGCTATGGCTGGGTGTGGCGGCTCACGCCTGTAATCCAAGCACGCTGGGAGGCTGAGGCAGGAGGATTTTGCTTGAGCCTAGGAGTTGGTAGTTGCAGTGAGCTATGATGACACCACTGCACTCTAGCAGAGGGGACAGAGTGAGACCCCTGCAAAACCAAACAAACAAAAACACCACACTACTATGAAATCTCTGTCATCCCTACGATCTGCCCCCAAGCAGATGTTAGTTTTTCTCACTCCATATAGCACTACATAAACATACTATTACAGGCTCTATTATATATATTTTATATCACACATGCCTGACACAGTGCAGGCATTCGGCGAACATGCCTCAGTGAAGGATGGAATGACACAGAACCCCGCTTTTCAGGAACACTTTGTAATCACTATGTCTTTTCCCTTCTTTTCTCTTTCCTTGCTTACACATTTAACCACTTTGCCATTTGAGAAATGAAAGAAGCTGAACTAAGACCAAGTCTTGCTCCATTTGCTTCTTGTTGACTAAGACTAGGTGTCTGTGAGCCTGGCAATCAATCATTCACAGTACCTAGCAAAGCCCTTCTTGTTTCGCACACCATCTTACCATTTTAAATGAAAAAAAAACAAAAAACAAAAAACAAAACCAACATAGAAACATTTTTACCTCCTGGAAGTACCACCTGTAACCCCACAGCACCTGGGAGCCCGAAGAGCCGCTGCACGGCACTCCTGCTGAAGAGCTCAAATTAACAAGTTTCACTTGGTTTTTTAACTTAACATACTTCCAGGGATCCTTCAAGAGGTTAACTTACCCCATCTTAGTCAATTTTGGCTCATGCATGTGTCTCTACACAAAATGTACTTGTTTTGGAGATTTGGAAATGTTCCCAGAGAGTGCAAGGATCATCACTTCAATCGGCAGCAGAGCTGGGGAGGAGAGGGAAGAGGCTCCCTGCTCATTTCAATATTGCTCATATGGCAAACCGACAGACAACAAGCAAACAGGAGGGGAGCGGGGCCTTGTGTAAAGGCTGCGTAGAAAGGTAAGCACTAGGACCAAAACATGATCCTTTCTAAACACCAGAACATACACAAAAAAATGGGGCCGGTGAAAACAGGCCACATAAGGAAAAACCCGCTTATTTAAAAGAAGGAAGGACATAAACATATATGTATTTGCTGATGAAAAAACAATGGTAGGACAGCCCATAACATTTTTTTTTTAATGGATACCTATAAGGTGAGGGAGGGGGAACACAGAAGAAGAAAAAAGGATAGAAATGAAGCTCCCTTGTATATACCTTGTTTTGTAGATTTGACTTTGGAACCACGTAAATACTGTACACAATACGACTGAATCAAAATTTAATAATGCAATCCCTAAAAATCAGAAGAAAGTGAATTATGGGTACCTAAATGCAAATCCAGTTGGTAGCATGACCACATAGAATGGTACTAGTCCAAGTGACTTTAAAACACAGCAGTCTGACAGTATATCCCCATTGTGAAATACCCTTAAAAACAGACTCCAAAAGATGGCCAAAAAATAAAATAGACCAAACAACTTCATCTATTTTTAGTCATCATGTAATCATGTTCTTGTTGGACAAGTGGGTACTGTTATTCTAAGGCTGCTGGGTGGGTAGTTTGTGAGAAAAAGCAGTGAGTAAGCATGCTGGGTGTTTGTTGAGAACCAGGAGTTTGTGCACAGGGAAAAAGATCAAGTGAATTAAAAAAATCTTACAGTACAGAATACAAACTGGGAGAATCATTGCAAACTCACCGTATTTTTTATCTTTAAGACAATACACATTTCCCATGTCTGTCCACTGAAAAAGCCTAGGAACAGTGACTGTCCGGTGGCATTGCACATGCCTGGCATCCTCTCCAAATGCATTAAGGGAAACCTACCATTGCTCCTTGAAGAAATGGTTGCTTCCAGGTAAACGGCAAGAAATGTTCAAAAAGAGCCTGAAATAGCCTGTTACGGCATAAAGCAGGGGAATTTAAAAAATATATTAGGGTCTTGAAAAGGTTCCTACTAGCCAAAGATGGAACAACTTGATCATCCTTCAGGGGAAAAACAGCAATGGACTGTAATATCAAATAAGTTTAAATCATGAGTTTATAAAGACACTTTTAACTTAAAAAAAAAACAAAAGCCTCACTGGTTGCCTATAGAGGACCCTAAGGAACCAACTCGGTATTTTGAAAACTGATTTAAAAAGGGAAAGGATAAGCATTTACCCTGCTTTTTGTCTGTGAACTCAGAGTTTGGGCATGGGGTCAGGGGAGAGTTTTTCTTCACAGAAGTATCCTGTCCTAATATCTGAAAAGCAAATTATAGGACTAGAGAGTTACCCTGTTGCAACTCCTAATGAATTGATGGATATTGGCAAGGATCAAAAAGACAGGGATAGGAGAATATATTACACACTACCATGGTGACAGAACCAGCAAAATCCAAGCTGTGGGAAATTCTACAGGACAAAAATCCTAGTTTCTTCAATAATAAAAACTAGAGAAAAAAAGAGACCGAGGGGAACCCCTAAAACAAGACATAAGAAACAATGGAATCACATAAAGACACACATCAGAGGCATGGAAAACAACAAACACGTCCCTAACTGAATATGCTTCTTCAAATGCAATTTTTTTTTTTTGCCCAAAGTGCTAAATGGATAGAATTATTTAAGCCTTGTTTCAATTTTTCTGAAAATGTTCTACATTTATTTAATGTTTAGTTCTTAGAAAAAAATCTCCAAACTGACTTATCTCTTCTCCAAATGCATGGGGAGTCTGGACCCTTGTGGATTACAAAGGCAATGTGGGGCCACCTAAACCTCATTAGCCCTGGCTGTCATCCACATCTTTCACAACAGCCCCGGGATCCCAGATCTGAGGGTCGGAGAGAAAACTGCACGAACTCACTCCTGCTGTTCTTGATGGAGGCTCTGCCTTTTCTGTGGCCCATGATGTTTTTTTAAAAATCACAGTCCCAGAGGACCACTGGAGTTAACTTTGTATAATTAGCAAAAATGGCAAGGTTGAATGTTTCTCTAGATGCCTTACTTTGTCTTCAGAAATACAATTTTGAATTTCCATAATGATCAGTTATGTTAAGTATCTGTTCATGTACTTGTTAGCCATTTGTTTATCTTTGGAGAAATATCTAGTCCTTTGCCCATTTTTTAAAATCTGTTTGGTTTTCTGTTAAATTGTAGGAGCTCTTTATATATTCTGGATATTAACCCCTTATCAGTTATATGATTTGCAAATATTTTCTCCCATTCCATAGGTTGGCTGCCTATCAACAGGACAACAGGACAAGTGATATCCTCTGCTCTGCTTAATATCATCAAAAATAGGCTTTAAGAAGACAAACCTGGACTGGTATTTTACCTTTCTTTCCAAAAGCAAAGTAAAACAATGCCAACCAAAGAAAACTACATGCATGAAGCCATTCACTGCAGCAATATCCAGAACAGGGAAAAGCCTGATTTTAACAGACCGTCTTCACAGGGGAAAAGCTTCATGACGTTGGGCTTTGCAATGATTTCTTGGATATAATACTATAAGCACAGGTAACAAAAGTAAAAATAGAAAAAATGAACTACATCAAAATTAAAAACGTATATGCCTCAAAGAACACAATCAACCCAATGAAAAGGCAACCAACCTATGGAATGGGAGAAAATATTTGCAAATCATATAACTGATAAGGGGTTAATATCCAGAATATATAAAGAGCTCTTACAATTTAACAGAAAACCAAACAGATTTTTAAAAATGGGCAAAGGACTAGATATTTCTCCAAAGATAAATAAATGGCTAACAAGTACATGAACAGATACTTAATATCACTAGTCATTATGGAAATTCAAATCAAAACCAAATGAGATATCACCTCATAGCCATTAGAACAGCTACTATCAAAATAACAGAAAACAACCAGCCTGAGCAAAAGCGAGAACCTGTCTCTATAAAAAAATAGAAAATTTAGCTGGGCATGATAGCATATGCCTGTAGTTCCAGCTACTTGGGAGGCTGAGCCAGGAGGATGGTCGAGCCCAGGAGTTTGAGGTTGCAGCAAGCTGTGATGAGGCCACTGCATGCTAGCCTGGGTGATAGAGTGAGACCCTGTCTCCAATAAATGAATGAATGAATACAAGTGTTAGAAAGGATGTGGAGAAATTGGAACCCTTGGGTACTGTTGGTGGGACTACAGGATGGTGCAGCTGCTATAGAAAACAGTATGGCAATTTCTCAAAAAAATAAGAAACAGAATTACCATATGATCTAGCAATTCCACTTCTGGGTATATACCCAAAAGAACTGAAAGCAAGAGCTCAAACAGATATTTGTTTTCATACCCATATTATTGACAATAGCCAAAAGGTGGAAGGAACTAAGTGTTCACTGATGGATGATGAATGGATAAACAAAAAGTGGTATATATATATATATACAATGGAATATTACTCATCCTCAGAAAAAGAACATTTGGACACGGGCTACAACATGGATGAATTTTGAGGACATTTGCTAAGTGAAATAGGCCAGTCACAAAAAGAGAAATACTGTATGATTCCACTTACATGAAGTTACCTATGGTAGTCGAATTCACAGACAGAAAGGGGATGAGGCGGTGGGGAAAGGAACGGAGAGCTGTTGTTTAATGACTACAGAGTTTGAGTTCTACAAGATGAAAAGAGTTCTGCAGATTGGTTGCAAAACAATGTGAATACACTTAACACTACAACACTGGACAATTAAAAATGGTTATGCTGGGCATGCTGGCTCATGCCTGTAATGCCAGTACTTTGGGAGGCTGAGGTAGGAGAATCGCTTGAGGCCAAGAGCTGGAGACCAACCTGGGCAACACAGCAAGACCCCATATCTAAAAAAAAAAAAAAAATGATTGGTATGACCAATTTTGGTATGTATAACTTACGACACTGAAAACATTTTTAATGAAAAAAAAACTGTCTACAATAGAATAAATGACTCATAAAATAACCAGATGGAATATTGTTATGACCTAAAAATGTTTTTGACAGAATTTAAAGTAAAACAAAAGTTCTGTGTGTGCTATGTTTCAACACATATGGACAATGAGAGATGAAAATATTTGCTATGAGAGGCAAGAAGATTAAGGGTGTTGTTTTCAGCGCAAAGTGTGAGTGTATGAGAAAGGAATAAACAGTCACAACTAAAACTGATCTAATCATCACCTATTTTCCTATCACCACCACAGACATTCTCCTTATATTTATACTCCTTTTAGAGAGAAAAATGCATCACTTAAGTTGATTTACTTGTTCTAAATACTCCCTGTGATTCAGCTGTTGCTTTGATACAGTTTCTCAACAAAACCCATCATCCAGCAAAGAGAATAATGGGGCAATTGAGCAGCAGAGCAGCCAAATCGTGGGAAGGACTTATTCACTTAGTGGCAAGCTGTGGCCAGCACTGGCCCATGGCATCCTTAGCAGAGGGCTGGCAGAGAACTGGACCCCAAGAAATAGAGAGAAAGTTCTTACCTCACTTGTACAAGGTCAATCCACAACACAGTCTCTGATTTTTTTTCCCCAAAAACACAAATGCAAATGACTTGGGGATTGCTTTTTATATTATCCATATAAGTAATATAAATAAGATTTATATTATCCATATAAGTAATATAAATAAGATTTTTAATGCATCTGCTTCAAACTTACCAAAAAAAAAAAAATGAAAGAAGGCCACACATTTTCTTGCTATATGATCTCATTCTCATGTCTACAAAATTTTTTTTTTAATTTTGAATAGTGAAATCTTCCCTCTATCTGCCAAGAAAAATAATAAATACGAAAGCTTTATAATAAGGAATTTTATGAGGGCTGAACTAAAAATTAAAAATATGTGCTTTGAACATGTAAAAGTCAATACAAAATAGAGAAAGCCTTGAAATGTCTCAATTTTATGAGACACTGATGGCCTGAATGTTGCCCTAACTTAGCTTGTACTTGTGGTTCCTGGGTTATCAGCTCGATTTTTATTGTCCTGTGTTTCAAGTTTTCCAACCTTAAGTACACTGTGGTAACAATCAATGGATAAGATTAATTTGGTGCTTCTGCAATGAACTCTGTTGTTGAAATATATTGAACTTAATTCTTTAACACCATTCCAACATGGAGAATTATGATGGGAGCAACTTGGAGGCCTCGGTCTTCATCTGAAGATGTTACAGCAATGACAGAGAAAGGAATGTCTGGCCAGCCAGTGCCAAAGAACATAAAAGCCCTTGTCACTCATTCACTAAAGAGGCTGAGAGATTTCTCTATACTCGTACTATGAA